TAGATGTGTTACACGTGAAAAATGTGATGGACTGAAATACATATTTGGTTAAAAATTTTTTCAAAGAATAAAGATATTTACTTGACTTGATAAGCTAATGTACCCGATGCATCATATGTAAGTGAAATTTCTTGATGAGCTTTCCCACGAGTATTATCAAAACGTAATTCAGGTAAATTACTCCATCTATTCTTATGTATATATATATATATATATAAATCATAACCCCTACTTTATTGAAATAACTAGCGAGAACCCGTGCATACTGCATGGTTGTTTTCTCCTTTAATGTATGACCCCAGACATTTAACCTTTCATCCGGTAAAATACATACAGACACTCGATATTATGAATATAGAAAGGCTCCCCTACGACCTCATACTCTCATATCCACATACTTCTGTAGTCCACGCAGCCTTCAGCCTTATATTCCTTGTAGCCTTATCTCCCTACTCCCTTCAGGGCCTATGCGTATCACAATATAATAGCCCTTGGGGACCTATGGGTACCCCCATAGGACAGCCCTTGAGGACCTATGGGTACCACCATAGGATGGCCCTTAAGGATCTATGGGTACCGTCATAGAATAGCCCTTGAGGACCTATGGGTACCCACATAGAATAGCCATTGAGGACCTATGGGTACCCCCATAGGATAGCACTTGGGGACCTATGGGTACCCCCATAGAATAGCACTTGGGGACCTATCGGTACCCCGTAGGGTCCCCTTGTGGATCTATAGGTACCGCCATCTCATAACCCTGGAGGACCTATGGGACCGCCATAGAATGGCCCTTGGGGACCTTTAGGTACTCCCATAGGATAGCACTTGGGAGCTATGGGTATCCCCATAGGGTAGCCCTGGAGGACCTATGCGTTCTCCCGTAGGGTAGCCCTGGAGGACCTATGGCTACTCCCATAGGATAGCACTTGGGAACCTGTGGGTACCTGATAGATGAGCCTTGGAGGAGGTATAGGTACCCCTATAGGATAGCCCTGGAGGACCTATGGGTACCCTCTTAGCACAGCCCTTGAGGACCTATGGATACCCTCATAGAATAGCCCTGGAGGACCTATAGGTACCCTCTTAGGATAGCTCTGGAGAACCTATGGGTACTCCCATAGGATAGCCCGTGAGGATCTATAAGTACCCCATAAAATAGGCCCTAGAGATCTCTCCCTTAGAGTCTTATTTGACCTTTGACCTTTGACCTGGCACAGAGAAACAGACAGACAGACAGACACTGAACATTATTGCATGTAGAAGAAGATATATCCACATATAATTTAACTGTATTTGGATGTGATGGACCATTTTCACCAATAACACATAGGCCAGTTATTTTTACAGCACCATTAAATGGTATACTGAAAAGTAATTCTTGTTCATCATCACTTTCAACTATCTTTCAAAAACAAAAAAACCTATCTATAATATTTTATTTAATTAAATCAAATGCAAAATATACTTTTGATCGATCAAGTCGTTCTTCCCATGCTCGAAATACATCTTTACCTGAACCATCATGTTTTTCATTATAACATTGTAAATTATATTTATCAATTTTTGTATATAAATTCCATTGAGCAACATTTGTTTCATCAACATGTTGACATGTATGTGAACATGAATGTTGCATAATTTATCTGAATAGAATAAAGAAAAATAATTCCTTTCTTTTTATGATATTTTTTATGGAACGATTTATTTTATATCATCAAGAAAAGAAATTACATAATGCACAAATGAACAAAAGCACAACAACAATATTATTTTATGTACGTGCTTTATGTTTTTTTTTGATGAAGTAGCATACTACTTTCATATCGTCGTCGTTTAGTCATTGGATTTCTTGGATCATAAACAGTTAATAATTCAGCATTCGTATAAATATCTTGAACATTATCTAATAATTCTTGAGATACAAAAGTATGTTTTAAAAATGGTGTTTGAACTTTATCAGCTATTTGTTCTGATTGGGTTACATTTAAAGGTTCACTAGTTTGTTCATCTTTATCAGTATGAACTTTTACACGAAATCTTTCTAATAAATCAAGTGTCTAAAAAATTAAATTCGAATATTTTATTCAGTACAAAAATAACTGATGAACAAACTTGAGATTCTCTTGAATTTGAATGACTACTATGATTTTTTTTATTGTTTCGTCTTGTACCTGCCATTAATTCATCCATTAATGTAGTAGTACTTGAGGTAACTGGTTGAATAGATGAGGGTGCAGATAAATTTGAAATAAACTCATAAAATATGATTGTCAGTTAAAAATAGGATGAATATCCTCATGCATCCTTGAAAAGTGAAATAGATCTTGGTAAGACCGAAAAAAAGTTCAATACTTTCGAATGGATTTATCCGTTCAAACTGGATTTCGTAGGATATACTAAATATCATTAAACAATACTTACGTTCTGTTTCTTCTTGGACGACATTTTCTAATGATTTGGGTGTAGATGCTGATGATGACTTTTTTGTTTGTTTTAATCCTTTTTTTAATCGTTCAATTTCAAGTTTAACATTTTCATTTCTATCAAAACAAAACTAAATAAATCAACATATTTTTGTTGTATTTTATATTTACGATTTTGTTGTTGAAATATCTTTTTGATTATTATCATCATCATCAATATCAAGTTGAAGTGTTTTTTCTTTTCTTGCTGAGCTAATTTTTTTGCGTTAAATTTTTGTCGTACTCGATCAAGTTCTTCTTTATCAAAATCTGCATCACTTTTTTCTATTATTTTAAAATTTTGTTTTTCTATAGGTAATTCTTCATCACTTTCTTCATTATTTTCATTTAATATAACTGTATTTTTACTTAATGTTGAATCATTGGTTAAATCATGTGCACTTTTTCCTGTTCCTTTTTGTTTGAATGTCTATAAAAATATTAAATTAAGAAAGGAAAAAACAAATGAAATATATCTATACCATTGAAATTTTTGTTATTTCTTCTTCATCTTCTTCAGCTTCATTTCCAAATGAAAGAAGACCATAATTTCTAATTATAAAAAAAAACAAAAACAAAGAATTTCAAATTCTTGTTTTAACTTCATAGAAAAATTCTACTTGATTGCTTTAGCTTGTACAGTTTCTTTCGACTTTTTATTTATTTCATCATTATCATCATCAATCATTTGTGATTTAGCTCGAGGTCGAGATACCATATTATCAAATGGATTTGATATAATCTATATATATATATAATATAATCTTTTAAAACTATAAATTTTTCTCTCATTTTTTACTTCTGCTTTAATTATTTTATGTTTATGTACTGGTATTTCACCAATAATTTCTCCTTCACCTAATTTCAACATATTAAATAATGTATCACCAACAACTTTGCCAAATAATGTATTCTTTTTATCAAGTTCTGGAGTACTACCCAAAGTAAAAAAGAATTGACTAGCATTAGTATTTGGTCCTTGATTAACCATACCAACAAGACCACGACGATTAAAACGTAAACGTGTATGAAATTCATCCTAAAGTTTTTTTGTTTTTTTTTATATAGAAACAAAATAAAATTTAATTTAATTAATGATTTACTGCAAAGAATTCACCAGTTGCTGATTCACGTCCTTCACCTGTTCCAGTTGGATCACCAGCTTGTGCAATAAAATTTGGTACAACTCGATGAAAAACTGTACCATCATAATAACCATAATGGGCATTCTATAGAGAAAAGTTCCTAAAAAACAAAAAAAAAACATATTACTATTTCACATTTATTATATAGGGCACTACAAAAGTGTTTTTTTATTCGTCTGACTTTCCTAAATGTCATGCATTGAGATCAATTGTTGAACTTCTAAACTTTCTAAAATATCTTATTCTTATATTTCATTCCGATTAGTTACATAGGTGAACATGTTAGGATTGAGATTGGATATTTTGTAATAAGTTCAAGGTTCTAGTTATTAAAAATACAAAATAAGAAGACTGAAGGAATTCGGTGTATAAAATCATATGAAATTATATGTTGATCGAACATCTAGAACTAAGACTTGATGAAAAAAAAAACTTTTGTAGTGCCGTTTGTAAAAAAAAAAGAAAGACACAAAATTCCGTACAATTTCAATATCACCAACAGTTGTATCTAAAACAACTTTGCCACGAGTAGCTGGCTCTTGAATGTAAATATTACTCATCTAAAACATCATAAATAAGTAGATGTAAATATTGACTAAATGCGTTTATAAATAGAAAGAGATTCTCTTTTTTTTTTAATTTAACTTCTACAGATGTATTAAATTAATACTATGTATGAGATTCTATTGAAATCCATTTGGATTATTCGATTGCCAACGCCATAAATCTTCGCCTATAAAAGAAAAATATAATTTTAAATCTGTACTTAAAAATAAAAACTTATTTACACATTTCATCTAAATTTCGTTGAGCTGTTCATCCAAGTTCTTGAGCTGCTAATGTTGGATCAGCATAAACAGTTGCAAGATCACCTGGACGTCGAGAACATTCTTTATAAGATATTGTTTTGCCTGATGCTTTTTCTAATGTTTTAATCATGTCTAATACAGAATAACCTTTACCAGTACCAAGATTATAAATCTAAATAAGAAAGAAAAAAAAAAATTTAAATCATTATCTATTACTAACTTTTAAACCACAATTCATTTCAAATTGTTTCATTGCTGCAATATGACCTATAGCTACATCAACAACATGTATATAATCTCGAGCACCTATACAAATTCAATAGGTTTTTAATGATAAGAAGATAAATTATATTTATTTGCTTATGTTTAGCTGTACCATCTGTAGTATCATAATGAGTACCAAGAATATTAACATATGGTAAACGACCAACAGCTACTTGTGCAATATATGGCATAAGATTATTTGATTTACCAATAGGATCTTCACCAATTAAACCTGTTTTATGAGCACCAACAGGATTAAAATAACGTAAGAGAATGATATTCCATTCCTAAATAAATTAACATCAATAAAAAAAAAAAAAAAAATAGATTATTTTAATTTAAAAATACGAACAGGATGAGCAACTATTGTATCTTTAAGAATATGTTCACATATATATTTACTTTTACCATATGGATTAGTAATAGCATCACCAATACATAGATGTTTTTCATCAAGTGGTAAATATTTTGGTGTACCATAGACAGTAGCTGATGATGAAAAAAGAAAATTTTTAACATTAAATTCTTCCATACACTAAATAATATTCAAATAAATATATTTATTTAATAATTAGAAAACAATTACTGTAAGTAAATTAAGTAAACAACCAACATTATTTTTATAATATAAAATTGGTTTTTGTACTGATTCACCAACTGATTTAAGTGAAGCACAATTAATTATTGCATAAATTAAATATTTTTTAAAAATATTTCGTAAATTTTCAAGATCAAGACAATCAATTTTATAATTAATTATTTGACATCCAGTAATTTGTTCAACACGTTTTAAACATTCTAAAAAAGAAATTTTTCTAAATAAAATCAAATTTTCTATTTGATATTTTTTAATCTCACCTGCTGATGAATTATGTTCATTATCTACTACAATTGGTGCATAACCAGCTGTAATCAATTCAATAACACAATGACTACCAATAAAACCAGCACCACCAGGCACAAGCACGTATTGTTTCTTTTGGTCACCTTTATAGAAGCATATATTTTATAGGTTCTTCTTTGAATTTACCATTGGATTTACAAACAAGTTATTGAAAAGTAATTTAACAACATTGTTTAAGAGTTATGAACCGGCTTTGTCTAGGTCTGCAAATTGATTCTTAAACTTTGTATTTTTATATAATTTTGTAAGGAACAATCTCACCTTCTATTCTATACAAAAAACTTGCTAATATAACGTATCTCATAACTCTTAAACCAAAAGCCGAGTTCTCGGTTAGGGGAAGGTCTACTGCGGCAAAAGGATTGGTTCATTACTTCTTTGTAGATACAAAGTTTTTCAATAATTTACTATTTATAAATTCATTTACCAGTTGCTGCTGTCATTCTTTAACTTGTCAATTTACCAGAATAATCTAAAACCAATTATACAGATAACTATTTGATTATTGCGAATAATTCTTTATTTTATGTGCGAAGTATATGAATAGTTATTGAATTGCTTTATTTTTTTTGTTTTTTTTGAAGCTTAAGAAACACAAGAAAGAAAAAAGGAATGCGGTGAACTCCGTTTATAAGCATAAGTAAAAAGAAAAATGCACAAACAAATGAAATATTTAAGATCGTGATATTGTTAAAGATTTTTATCTTTTTTTTTTTAGCATTAACGTTACAAATTAACCTAGATAAATACGATAAACACCAAAAACAAAATGAATATCATTGGGGCTTTCTTGTTTCCCACCCAACAAATCAAACACAAAAACAAAAACAAAAAATACTACTTGATGTAGCAGCCGTTCTCACCTATTCAAAACAAAAATGAAACCATGGATCCTCTCTTTTATAAAGAACCATATAAACGCAAGGAATTTGGAATGTCTATAAGAAAAAAAAAAGCCTCAAATGAAAGTTCAGAGAAAAAAAAATGTGTTAAAATATTAATAGTCAAAAAACAATTACACTACGAAAAAAAAA